CAGAAACCGCTCGAGTGACTGGCTCCGGGAGGCAGAGCCGTGGGCTCAGGCCGGGAGCAGCCCCCAAGTTCACAGCCTGCTCGACCCGCCACAGGATCCGTCCACACACATCGCCACCTTCCTGTTACCCCCCCCCCGGGACTGCCAGAGAAATAGCAGGAGATGGCACATCTCCCACTCTAGACTACTGGACTCCATCATGAGCTTGCGGCTTAGCAGAAACGTGTGCTGGGAACAAGGGCGGTTGGGGGCAGCTTCCCTGCCTGCTCCCTCAAGGAATGACTTGACTGTGCCTGGAGGCCCCTGGACCCAAGATGCTCTAGGAAAGACATTGCAAGGGGCTCTTGCCCCAACGTGCAGGGCAGAGCTGGGGAAGAATAAACCAGAGTACCCCTCATGGACGGCGGGGCTCACTGCTCCACTTAAAACAGCTCCGGCCCCAGGAACACCTTAGGGAGCATATTTTGTCATCTGAGGATGGCGGTTCATAATTCCTGCTGCAAAGACTAGAAAGTGAAGAGCCTCCCTGTGCCCACAGAGAGCTCCCTGTTTCTCACTGGGAGGAAGAGATGAGGTGGAGTCTGACTCAGCTGCTGTGCCAACGTGCTGTGTGACCCTGCACAAGTCCTGGCCACCTCTGGGCTTGTCTGATGATCACTCGTAGGAGGAAAAGGCAGCAGGAGAAAGTTAGACTTGGACACTATGTGCCGTGAGAGGTCATAAGCCTTGAGGGCCTCTCCAGGCCCAGCCCAGGTCTCCAGTACCTGGTAACAATGGGAAACGGGGCCCAGAAGCCATTTCTCCTTCTGGTTCCCTCCAGGCCTGTGAAGGTAAAATATAGATGTCTCGCCTTTATTGAGACAGAGGCCAGCTCAGTTCTGCTCCCCTGGAACCTTCGGGATCAGTGCCTGACACACGGGAAGGCTTCTGCCTGAGTGAAATTGGGTAAAAGGTTGCAGCAACGTTTCTCTTCTGCGAGTGTCCAAGGTGGCCAGGCTCCCTGTCACTCACCTCGGGTCTGTGCTTCAAGTCATCCCCGCCCCCTGCTCCCAGGACTCTCAGAAACAGCATCGTGTTGGTGCTGGGAGCAAATGTCCAAAATGGGCTTGTCACAGTGTCACCTGTCCTAATGCAAACTGGAAGGGACAGCTCGGCCCCACAGGGCTGGCAGGAACGACAGGGAGACACATGTCACCCTGCACACGTCGCCAGAGCCAGGCCTGGGCCACCACCCACAGCCCCCCTGCTCCTACACTGGCTGTGGACACAGATCCCTTGTGCGCAGGTGAGGTCTGCAGACCCCTGGACTCTCACTCACTCCAAACAGCTCTGGGGGGCAGGCTGGGGTGGGGAGCAGTAACTGTCCCCTCACCCCCCACGGCCTGCAGGCAGAGGCACGACCATCCCTGCCTCTAGACCTTGCCCTGAACTTCCACCAAACCCTCCCACGGTAGACAATGCATCTGCAGAAGCACCCTCTCACCAATGCCCTCCCGCTGGACAGGCGTGACCATCTCTCAACTTCACAACACAAGCAAAGAGCTGGTAAAGAAATGCAAAGAACAGAGAAGAGGCAGATGCCCTCCACAGGCCCCCCTGGGCCCTTTTTGAGGCTTTTGCCTCTGGGAAGCTTCTCTGGCCACTCTGTAAAGCTGTAGCCCTTTGCCCTGACGAGTTCCCTGCTGTTTGCTTTGCTGTAAGTACTTATTTCCCGCTAACCTACTATGTGATTCATCTGTTATGGTGTCTTTGCTGTCCCTCTTGCTAACATGGCAGGCTCATGACATCAGAGAGCTGGTCTGGTTCTTCCCTGTTGTATATCAACCATCTTATTTAGTGCCTGGCACACAGATCTGTTGAGTGAATGCATGATTCAGGCCAGGGGGATACTTCAAGGAAGATGGAGCTCGCTGCTTCCCTTCTGGATTATGCTGAAGGAGTGAGAAGCTCTGCTCTTGCTGGCCCAGCTCCCCCAGGTCCGTCTGACAGCCCATGTACCCACCGCCAGACAGACCCTAGTCCCAGTGGCATCTGTGTGCTGGTTCACAGCTAGGAATTCGAGTGCCAGCAGCTCATGAGTAAGTACACCTGTGCACTGAGCCCCCAGTCACCCACCTGGAAGCAGAACTGCCAATGGGAACAGCAAAACAAAGAGCACTCTCAAAGGTGACTTTGGGCCAACCATAATTGAAAATGTATCTCAGAAGCAGAAAGCTGTGCCCAAGGACCCTGGCTTGCATGTTGTGGGTGGCAGGGATGCTGAAATTGACTGAGCAATCTGCCACGTGCCTGTAGGTTCGCTCTGGGTGGTGGTGGGGGACAGCTGCTTCTCCTGCTGAGGGGTTGTTCCACTGCACTCAGACACCCCAGTTCTGCACCTCAGCTCCTGTTCTGTCTGTGTTGCTGATCTTTCCTTTCACTTCTTTCCCATCAGTTCAGCATGTTCTTATCTTAGTGGCTGCACATGTGCACAGACGCTCCCTTGGCAGTCCTGGGGCCATAGGCAAGATCCATATACTTATGCACATGGACAAGTGCAAGGCAGGGAGAGGCTGATGGGGACCCTGGGACTACACTGGAGAAGGTGTGCTTGTGTGTACACATTCACACTCAGCCCTGCACCTACACACCCCAGAGAGACACCTGGAGTCATCAAAAGAAAAGCAAAAGACAGAGAGACATACGACATGGCACTAGAGGAGAGGGGGACCCAGCAGGGCGCAGCCAAAGCCTCTAGCAAGACGTGTGCGAGGAAAGCAGACTGGGGGTGAGGACTGGAGAGGGCCTCATGCAGCCAGCCGAGTAGAAACAATATCCCAACTGAAGGATTATGAAACTTGCAAGTAACTTAGCAAATGTTTGTTGAGTGCTCACTCACTTCTAGACACCGAGTCAAGCACTTTTACCCATATTACCTCACTGACTTGTCACACCCCAGGGAACAATCCTATTTACTATTTTCCCATTTCACACGTCACAAGCTGAGGCCCTGCGTGATGGAGTCATCTGTTCTCTCCCACAGTGCCACCTACACTTTCTATGTTCTTGCTCCACGCAGCCTTCCTGGCATTCTAGACACCGAGTCTCATGACCTTCATGCCACTTGAGCCAGTGACCTCAGCTCCTGCCACTTCAGTTTATCCTGTTCTCATGCAAAAGAGCCTCTTCAGCGACTTTCTCTGGCGTCTCAAAGAACCTTCCCCACACGTCTTGGCCACCACTGTATTCCTCCTGAGTTTTTAATTTTTCACTGCATTTATATTACTGATACTCATTTATTTATTCACCCATTCACTGTCCCGCCTCTCTGCCTGAAATGTAAGCGCTCTGAGGGCAGGGTTTTGTTCCCATGGAATCTTCAGTATCTGGAAAGCTGGACTCCAGCAGCTATACAGGACATACTTGTTAGTACTGAATGAATGAAATTTACTGAAGGTTAGGGGATGGAGCATGTAAGGACTCAGCTGGGCCCCTCAGAGAAGGAGTTCAGAATGATGAGTCACCAGAGAGGATGAACTGGGGGCTCCACCCAACTTACATATCCTCTTGGGAAGTCCTTAGACAGTCTGAAGGTTCAGAATCATGGCTTCGAAATGAGGAAGGAAATCCTAAACTATTCGGTCCCTTCTGGAGGTCTTAAGTCTACTGGGAAAGATTCTTTCCAGGAGAGAATTCTTTTCCCATCACAGAAATGTGCTTTGTCTGGGCACCTGGGGCCTCAGAGCCAGGTAGAGGTGGAGAGTGGGCACCGTTGGAAAGGAGGGAGCAGGAAAGTTAAGAAGCAGCCTCTCTTAACCAGATCCTGACTCCCAGGCCAAGGCTGCCCTCTCAGCACCCCACCAGGACATTCCCAAGCATGGCAGCCTCGAGGGGACACCACAATGGGCCCCAGTGAGACTGAGTGGGGAGCCCCACACCAAGAGAAGATGTCATCGGGCTCAGGGGAGGGTGAAGCAGCTGTGGGCTGCCAAGGCATAATGCAAAAGCCCCGTGGGTGGCATAATGTAGTATTCATTTCCCCACCACGCAGAGAGGGAGCAGGCAGAACAATCCAGACTCTGTCAGCAAGGGGTGTTTAGATCTTCTATGAAGCGGGGTGCTAAGTAAGTGGGGAGATGGGGGCCTGTCCCCAGTAGCTGCTGCTGTTGATACATCCGTATTCATGGACTGGAGGGGCAGTTCCCAGGAAGGATTAGCCCTACACGGAGGTAGTGATGCTAGTCCACACTTGGGGTGGGGTGGGTGTTGTGGGATGGCACACTCTGAACTGTAAGTTGGGACCCTCCAGGAAACAACCTCAAATACATGGAATATCCAAGGCAACATGGATGAATTTGCCTGTTGATTACACAAGAGTCCTGTCTGCCCTTGGGGGCCCCCTGAAGAATGTACTCAGTTCTCGAGTGACTTCCAGAAGCAAGCCTGCCTAGCTAATGGTAATCCCTGCACCATCTGTGTTCCGCCTTGGTTGGAATCATGGAAGTTGCTGGAAAGCCCATGTTAGAGTTACAAATATACACAGACTTAGGATACCTGTATCACTGCAAACACAGAGACCCAGTTTTCTGAATTTCCACCCATCCGATTCTTTGAAGACATTCCCTCAACTAGGTTTCTTGGACAACAAATCCTTTCCCTCCAGGGTTTAGGAAGATGACCCTGATAGGAGATTATACTTTGTGCAGGGAAATCTGAACCAAAAGTCTGGGTATTTGTGCCACATTCTTTCAAAAGAGTAAACATTGACCCTGCACCTATACACACCATCTTTTTGAGGTTAGTGGATTTGTTCTAGATTCACAGATATTTTGATATTTTAAACACTGCAGTCTGTTTCTGTGCACTCAGCCTCAGTCCCCAGACAGCAGAACTGAACAAATTTACACATAGAGTCCAATAAATCAAATCCCTCTGCAGCCAGCCTCCTATAGGACGCTACTGAGCCACAGGCTAGTACTTAGCAACGAGACAAATGTCTAACAGAGACCAGCGAGGCTTACCTGCCTTTCTGACATGATGTAGAGCTGCTCATGGTCCTTGGAGAAAGCCATGTCCCGCAGGATGGGGCCGGGCTCCACCACCTGCATAGTCTCATACTGGAGGGCATTACCCCTGGGCCCATCCACTCGGATCTGCAGAAGGAGGAAAAAGGAAGTCAAGGTGAGTTTAGATCCTATACTGTCCAACATCGAGTTTCAGGCTGGTGACCTTCCCAGCACCTGGGGCGAGTCGAGTGTTCTCCACAAGGTTTAAGACCTGACCAAAGGGGCCCAAGACTGCCACAGGCCTCGTGTTGAGAATGGCCAAGAGAAGAAGGGGAGGGAGCGAAGCAGGCCTTCGCAGGACCTGCTCTTATTCTCCCTGGTTCCTGGTGTCTCAGGCTTTATCTGAGACAAGGATGGGGCTGATAAAAGGGAGAGGAGTCTGGGGATTAGGTGAACAAAGGGTAATTGATCAACATGTTGGCCTATAACAGAAAGATTATTTTCTTAAAAGATTTATTTCTTTTATGCATACAGGAACTGGGGTCTAGGCCAGAGGTGTGAAGGGTGAGAGGATTCACCAGAGAGAGTGGGGAGCAAAACAGACGGATTGACTGAAATACACTGCTGAGGGGAGCAGCAGGCAAAACCGGAGAGGTCTGCTGTGCCCTGTGGGTCACCTCTGGGGGCGGGGATAGAACTTGTGCTGCAGTGGCTGTGGAGAGCTTCATAGTACTGACACATACTCCCTTGCACCACCAGGGAGGCCCTATAACAGAAAGATTATTGCAACTTTTGTCAACAGGAAAAGTTTACGTGTAAGGATGTGTGCAGGTTTTTCAAAACTTATCCCACTATGCCTTTTACACCATGGAAGGGAACCAGGCCAGGAGACAGCCCCCACATTTCATATAAGGTGGGCTCATTTTGGCCATTAGCCCACTGATTCGTGCCCCAGATTTTGTTGGGACTCTAAACCTCCCAAAAGTCCATTTCCTACCCCCAGAGTAGGGAATGTGGGCTTTCCAGGAAAATGTGTTTTGAGCATGAGTCATCCTCAATCTTCTGAGAACACTTAGCAGAATAGATCACTCTGGACTGTCCACAAGTCCTTCCTAGAACAGCTGGGACAATGTAGAGACAACCAGGAATGACTGTTGTGTGTGACCCCCATGGGTGAGAACAACTCTAGAAAAGACAGGCAGCCCCAGCCCTTGAGAGGCTCCTCCGGCCCTGGGTCATCGGCCCTGGTCTCTAGAACTCCAGGATTCCGAGTCTGAGATCCAAGATGCCCCCGCCTGTTGCTATTAATGCCACCCATGTGAGCCGGGACCAAACATTACTTGTATGGGAGGGTAAGGAGAAGGGCAGTGGGAGAAAAGGAAAGGAAATAGCTAGGGACCATGAAACTGACAAAGCTCTATGGAACCCACAGTGCAATTGTAGAGGTTTTTATAACCAGGCTAAAGAAAAAGCTAAATTCTGAGCATTCCCACTATGTACCCTGATTTTTAATTTTTAATATTTAATTGTTAACCACTCAAGAGCACAGGAATAGGAGAGTCATTCGGAAGAACTCGATTACTGAAGCGATGCCACATTGCCACATCAGTGACAGACGACAACATGGATTCGTTTGAGCGTTGGTCGCTTCTCACTTATGTTGAATCCTGAACTCTGACACCAGTGTATTGTATTTGTTTCAGCCTTTGCTTGTTTGTTTGTTTTCCTTTTATGTATTATGCTAAAGCCCTTTCTAGAGTCAGGCGTTATGATAAAACCATGGTGAGATGGTTTTGCACATAATTGAGATGATCCTCTCAATTCGATGGGCTTAGCATTCACTCGCCAAGGTCTGCATGACCCTCCAGGATCCATCCACACTCTCACCTTTTGGTGGGACTGGATTCCCCTCTGCTTCCTAGAGTGTCCATGCTGGGCATAGGCAATCCTCTTTGAACTCACTGTCTTGCCTTAGAGTTGGAGAGGAAGCAGACCCATACTAATGAATGGATGTCATGAGAGTACAGCAGGCACTGTGTTTCATGATGGAGCAAGAGAGAAGGATCTTTCCTCACCCTCAGTAGGGTCGAGGAAACATGGAACTCAAAACGTTGGAAGCCAACTGGAAATGAGGGGGACAGCGAGAACCAGGGGCAGTCAGGTACAGAGATGGAAAAACCTGGAGTCCTCAATGATGTCCCTAAGTTGCTGAATCAAAATAGCTCTGATACCAGCCCAGAACTTTCTAGTTACTTACAACATTCCCTTATGCTTAAAGCAATAGGAAGGAGTTTATTTCAACCTTAGATGTTCTAAGTGACATACTGATATAATAGAAGGAGGAAAATGATGTTCAGGTATAAACAACTGACATAAGCTCTAAAATTTGGGGTCATAATTAGAATCTGAAGTTTGACTCAAAAGCCCATACTTTTGTAAGCCCCAGTAATGTGGGAGACACTGTTTCTTGATGGGTTTCATGCTTACTTCCTGGGGATCTGTGGATAAATAAATAAAGGCAGGGGCTGAGGTCAGTATCTGTCACTGGTCTTTGTAGTTCCAGAGGCTTCCTCCAGCTACCTCTGATTCTGATGCTGAAACACTTGAGCTTGACAAATGTTTATTTAACAATGAAGAAATATATCGATGACGTTTACACATTGTGGATTTTTTTTTTTTAAGATTTATTTATTTGTGCATACAGAACTGGGGTACAGGCCAGAGGATCTGGTGAGAGGCTTCACCAGAGACAGAGTGGGAAACAGAACAGGCAGATCGACGAAGTACACTGCTGAGGGGAGCAGCGGGCGGGTCAGGAGAGGTCTGCCACGCTATGTGGTCACCTCCGGGGCAGGCGGGAATCGATCTCATGAGGAAGCGGCTTTAGATTCTCCGTGCTGTGCTTTAACCCGCCGCACCACCAGGGAGGGCCCACATTGTGGATTTCTTATTCATGAAAGCAACAGCAGCAACCACCATACAGGAGTTAAAGAAAGATGTAGGCCCTCCCTAGTGGTGCAGCAGGTTAAAGCACAGCACTGCAAGCCAGCCACAGTTGCTTCAGTGCCAGTTTGTGCTTCAGTGTGAGTTCAATCCCCACCCTGGAGGTGACCCACATGGCATGGCAGACCTCTCCTGACCTGCCTGCTGCTCGCCTCAGCAGTGTACTTTGTCGATCAGCCTTTTCTGCTCCCCACTCTGTTTCTGGTGAATCCTCACATCGCTCTTGCACTTCTGGCTTGTACCACAATTCTACATGCATAAATAAATAAATCTTAAAAAAATCAAAGTGCCTTGCATTCCAATAGCCCTCCTTCTTCTGTGCCCACCCTCAAGTCACCAGATGTCCAAGCTGGGCAGCTCATTCCTTAATCTGAATGAAATGGGAGTTCATGCAAAACCAATTGGGATTACTACCCAAGTCTGACCGTGCAGTGATGGCCTTGGCCTCTGTCCCAGTCAGACCTCATCCCAGCTGTGAAATGCCTGTGAAGCAGAAGCAGGAGATTGATACAGAGGGCCCTGGCTGGTGTCCAGCCCCCTCCAGCCATCTCAGGAGAAGCCTCCCCTAGGGAATGCTGGCGGAACTGAGTCCATCAGCATTTAGTGGCCTGATCCCCAAGAGAAATCGGATTCAGCACCTGAGCTATCTTATCATGGGCTCCCACTTCCCTGCTTTTTAGGACAAGGAGACGTGCTGGAGGTAGGTGGACATCAATGGAAACCGAGTGAGAAGGTAGGTACAAGGGCAAAGAGGTGATGGAGGAGCGTAAAAAGGCTACACAGACTTGCTCTTCCCAGCAGAGGGGAGATAAGATACTCCTCTCATGCTGCCAAACTATTCCGGGGAGGAAATCACTAATTGGCAAGGTGGGTCTCCATCACCCACCACCCCACCCCATCCACTTCTTGTTTCTGAAAGCTAAAGGGAAAGCATCCATCATCCATCTGCTGAAGATTCTCCAACAAGACAGGGCTAACAGGAGGCTGTGCTGGGACTTGCCGAAGAGTGGACAATTCTTCACTGTAGGTCTGGGCTGCTTACAGAGACAACAGCAACAAGGATCGCCAATGACTGAGTGGTCACTGTGAGTTGGGAACCATGTTGGGCATTCTACAGTACTTGTCTTCTTATTAAAATCTCATCCCTCCTGGAGTGGGGAATGGGATCAAAAAGGGGGGGGGGGGGGAAGGGAGGGAAATGCACGGGACTATGGTGGTGGCACAGGGGTGATTTGGTGATGGGAAAC